CAACCCAAAACAGTGGCTGCACATACACAAATAGATGCAAACACATGCAGTTTCTGCAGCATGCTCAAGCAAAACAGACCAAACATCTGCAACTTGATAGAGACAAGAGGGTGCCAGTTCTCCAAGAAACCAGCCTAACACCAGTCACCCCCTTCTTGTCTCCTCAGTCAGAGGATTTGGCAGGGGTCTTTCACCTTCAGCTTCCGAAACAAGACGTTTTCTTGAATTCAAGTTTTACTATTACAAACACGTTCAATAGTGCGTGGCTCTTCCTGGCTGTGGCTGTCATCTACATATTTATATTACCACTGTCTCTGTTGGGAATCTTACTTTATTAAGTAGGTTTTTTCACAAAGACAAGGAAAGAAAGAGTGAGAAAACATATATATGTTCTATTCCCTTTAAACTAAATAATTCTTTGAATTAGGCTTTCAGCAATATTTACCGTTAGATTGAAGGATTGGACTCATATAATTCAAATGAATATGTGAACTTTCCTTCTCTATATCTGTTTCTTATCTGAAAGCCTACATTTAAATAGATCAACCTATAGTAATAGCTTCTTTATAATTTTGTTTCTTCCTCTAGATATGATGCTGTGCACAGCCAAGAGGGAGGTGGAGGAGAAAATCAAGGACTGAATAATGGGATTGCTTCCTGTGGTCTTGCTATGCTCAAATTCAGGCAAGTATCTTGCAGATAGGGGTAGTGAGGGTCAAACTTAGAGTTTCAACACAGCTTCTATGCCCAGCTGACAAACTTTAAGCTATACTGGATACACAAACACTGTTGGGACACAAGGGCAGCCTCAAGTGCTGAATTAGCCAGTTTATAGGCTTAGTTTACAACTACATACAATTGGGCTAATATTTACTGGTTCTGCAACAGTTGTTAAAATCCATTTGCTAACATTTGAAATGTATACCACTAGTAACATTATCCTGCTATCCAGAATTTTTAAGTGCTCAAGTCAATGTAAATTTGTTTGAAGAATACCAAATATGAGATATATCAAATATCAGAATATGAGAAATATGAAAACAGGAGACTTAATCTGCTGTTCACATCAGGTTTTATTCCACTGTCTAACACCCTCATAGTATTTGATGCCCACAGTTACTATAATGAATAAAGCTTTAACTAAACAAAATATCTGATTTTTCAGATTTTCTTTTGGTCTTTCTAACTGTGCCAAGAAGGCTCCTGAACAATCTCAAGATGACTAGAAGCTCAGCAGGCTCCTGATCCACTTATCTCATCCAACTAACAGATGTCTATGGGCTGAGTGGATGTGCCCATCAATTCCACTCATCCTGATTCTGAAATAGGGTGTACTAACTTGTCTGACTTGTAGATGTACCTTTTGATTAAAGCACTGCAGAAGGCACCACCCAGTAGCTGCTGAGGCCTGCTTCCAAGCTCTCTATCTGGATAGGCAAGAAGTTTGGTTTCAAAGCTAGCCTAAAAATAGCTTTAAAAATACAACACTAAAGCTGTCCATGTCAGATTATACAACACAAGAAGAACCACTTCCTTTTAGCAGTTTGTAGGTTCCCCTAATTTCAACCTTATTTCCTGATTCATTTTTCCTGAATTAAGAATTCCAGTTTCCCCTCACAAACTTGTTTTGATTCTTATGATTTATTTACTGACAACAATATGGTTTCCTGTATATTTTTTGAAACAGTATGATAATTCCCAAAACTGCTGGTTAGCTACTGGCTTTATTTTAATACATAAAGGGTGCTTTGTTGTCCAGAGCTTTAAAATGTCTTCTTTTAATCTGAAGTTCTCATTTCCCAAATTAATCTGATTCCTGGAATGAGAAGTCTTCTGAGAGAAACCACCAGAGAGCCGTTACACTGTACTACCTACATCCACTTTCAAACTGCTCTGAGTGAAGCTGGAGAACTACCAAAGTTTTCCATACCGTCATTTAAAGTTACCTTTCCCAATTTTGCTAGGTTGACTGGTGGTTTTCCATTGCAATGTCTAAAGAGTGCTTTGATGTCCAGTGCTATAACAACTCTTCTTTTAACCAAGTATATTATACTTCAAGTGTAATAGTAAGTGCCATCAAGTTTATAAGACACGACATGAGACTAACAGATACGACATACAGGAGAATCACATCCATGAAATGATACTGAACACATATCTTTAGGTAACCAAATCACTCTACCGAAATCATTGATGGCAGTAGCAAAATTAATCACAATCACAAGTATTTTACCTTGGAGTTTACTAGGCCTCTAGTCAGATAGTCATATTTTCTGTGCAGCAATCAAAGTACTTACTGCAGTTACTGTTCCTGCAGTGAGCCCCATTCTTCTGAGTTTCTTCATCGCTGGAAGAACACAGAATTTGAAAGCATATCCACTGAGCTTTTCAAGCTTGTCTTTGTTCATTCAGCATATGTGAACAAAAGGATCCTAGCCACTTAGCTTCAATTTGTGTTAATATTCATTTTGCAGTTTTGTTACAAAGCCTTCTTATAACCTAGATTTCTGTGTCCCCCTGTCAGATCCACTAACATTACAGCCATGTTACACTACTTTGCCATGAGACAATGTAAGCCTCAGAGGAGAACTGAAGAAACTGACTTGATGATTTCCATGATTTCCATCCTTCTCCAGAAGAGAACTGAAATCAACTCATCACATGCAGATGAGAGGTGACAAGAACTCCATGCAATTACAGAGCAGATATGGCCTTAACATGCAGAGGGATTTCAAAGTAGTCCATGAATTTTGGCCACAGTGATGACTGAAGGCTTCCCTGCTTCATATTATCTGCGATGGAGACAATGGCTGGGGGTGCCAAAGCTGTAGCTCTTAAGCTGCACATGCAATTTTCCCTGCCACAGTAGTTTATCCATTTGGATCCCTCACTGCTCAGTGCTAAGACTGAAGACAGCAGGAATAACAGAACATAAGACAAAAGAGCATTTACTTTGATGACCACCATTTAGCAAAAAATAAGGATGTACCATACTTTGTTAAATATACAGTTTAGGGTTACAGTTATAAAAACCTAAAATTATTAAACCACATTTTTAAAAACTGTGTGGGAGAAGTCATGTCTAATATTATATCACTTTTTCATGTGTTTTACTTCATATCTGAATATCACCACATAGGTTTTAAAGGGGATAAAAATAGCAGAAGTGTATCAGCAAAAGCACAAGACTTAAGTCTTGTGCATTTTTTTTTGATTTATAAAAAAAAAATCATAAATCACATTCCAGTGAACAGTGAGCAGAGTACAGTCCAGGATCCTACTAATTCATAGGCTTGACTGGGGGTGCCACAGGCATGAGTCCTAAGGCACACAGTGTTCTTTATGACTAGTGGCAAATTGGGAAGAAGAGAAAGGCAAAAAGGACATTACAAAACCCGGAAGCTTGTGTTTCCTTATTTTTTTGTTTATTCTTTCCCTCATTAGTTAGCTAACAATATTGAAGGAGTTCTGTGATCTAGCTGACTTCTGTCAATATTGCGTCAGGATGTTGCAGTGCAGAGAAATATCAAACTTATTCATCAGCTTTGCTCAGTCTGACTTGAGATCTAAAGGGAAAATTAAAGCCACAATTACTTATGAATAATCTGACTTCTAAAGTAGCTTTGCAAGCATTCGTGAGTGCATCAGCTGGAGCCACTAGGTCTCCAGCTGCTGCAACTTCTCTCTAAATTAGACAGACATCAATTTGACAGATGGATCACTCAGTGGATACAGAACTGACTGGATGGTGGCACGCAAAGAGTTGTGGTCAATGGCTCAGTGTCCGGCTGGAGACCTGTAGCGAGTGGTGTCCCTCAGGGATCGGTGTTGGGACCGGTCTTGTTCAACATCTTTGTCAGTGACATGGACAGTGGGATTGAGTGTGCCCTCAGCAGGTTTGCTGATGACACCAAGCTGTGTGGTTCGGTTGATGTGGAGACAGTGCTCTCACAGGAGAACGGATAATTGGTACATAAACTCTGAATAATCCTGAAAGATAGAGCAAGGCCATGAGAGGCCGAGGAAGCTTAAGCAAGCAAGATAAGAAGAAGGTGGAATTCACTGAGTTATGAGAACTGTTGACTGTTAGCAAGCTTTCGAGGTCAAGTTCTCACACCTGTGCTTAACCAATTATATGTTACTCACTAAGGGTCTTCAAGACACGTATGCAATCATAATATTCCAAATCACTGTAAGTGCACGTAAGAAATAGTGTATAAGGAGTTAAGGATTTGTAATAAATGGCTTTTGTATGAAAATATTGATCTCTGACTGGGTCCATACATTTTCTGCAGCAGGTTGATACGCTGGAGGGAAGGAATGCCATCCAGAGGGACCTTGACATGCTTGTGAGGTGGGCTGATGCCAACATCATGAAGTTTAACCATGACAAGTGCAAGGTCCTACACCTGGGTCGGAGCAATCCCATGCACAGCTACAGGCTGGGCAGAGAAGAGATTCAGAGCAGCCCTGCAGAGAAGGACTTGGGGGTGTTGGTCGATGAGGAAATGAACATAAACCGACTTCAGTGTGTGCTCGCAGCCCAGAAAGCCAACTGTATCCTGGGCTGCATCAAAAGGAGCATGACCAGCAGGTGGAAGGAGGTGAACGTGCCCCTCTGCTGTCCTCTTGAGAGACCTCACTTGGAGTATTGTGTGCAGTTCTGGTGTCCTCAACATAAAAAGGGCATGGAACTGTTGGAACAAGTCCAGAGGAGGGCCACGAGGATGCTCAGGGGACTGGAGCACCTCCCATATGAAGACAGGCTGAGAAAGTTGGGGCTGTTCAGCCTGGAGAAGAGAAGGCTGCGTGGAGACCTCCTAGCAGCCTTCCAGTATCTGAAGGGGGCCTATAGGGATGCTGGGGAGGGACTCTTCATTAGGGACTGTAGTGATAGGACAAGGGGTAACGGGTTCAAACTTAAACAGGGGAAGTTTAGATTGGCTATAAGGAGGAAGCTCTTTATTGTGAGGGTGGTGAGGCACTGGAATGGGCTGCAGCCCCAAAAGAAGTCCACCTTTGTCCTGCTGGTGGCTGGGCTCAGCCCTTGCGGAGGCGAGGACACAAAGGGCTGCCTTCGCAGAGTAAGGAGGTAGTGGGTGCAGAGGCAGGTGCGGGGCTGGGTCTGTGCCCTGGCCCCGCAGGCAGGGAGCACGGCCGCTCACCCCTGTTGTGCTCTCTGCTCTGGCAGGTCCTGAAGCCCTTACCGCCCCGCAAGGCGCTGAAGCGCAGGAAGCAGAGGATCCTCCAGCTGCAGGAGCCAGCCTGTCAGAGCTGGTGGGTGCTGCTGGACAAGGAGCCCCCGGCCTCCCGCCAGCTCCTGCTGGGGAAGTGCCCGGGTCCCCAGTGCCCCACGGCTCTGCCTGGGCAGCGAGAGGGGACCGGGGTGCCCGGACCCCTGTCCCACAGCTGCGCTGCGCTGGTCCGGGCAGCACCAATGCACTTTTCTGCTTGGCTTTTGCCTTAGGCTTTTCCAACTCATGCGCGACCTGGAGGAGGAGGCCGCCAGCAGGACCCAACTGGGGCTGCAGGGGGAGCCAACGGAGGTGGACGTGGAGGAGGAGGAGGATGATGCCATGGATTTGGACTGAGCTGTGGTAAGGCAGCACGTGCCCCCATCCACTGCTGGCAGCCAGGGGGGGTCGGCTGCTGCCACGCTGGGGCTGGGGCTGTGTGTGACGGCCCCGCTGCAGGGACACGGTGCCCGGTGGCCTCATCCTGGCGGCACAAGCGCCACCACCGCGCTGCCCTGCGCTGCCTTTGGGACACGCGAGCCGAGTCTGATCGCGTAGAGCCCGGCTCCCAGCCCCAGCCAGGGCTGCGCCCCGCGGCAGAGTCCCGCTCTCCCCAGCATGTGGCAACCACAATGACCATCAGGAGCCTCACTGAAATGACCTTGTGCTGCTTCTTTCCAGGGCTCGTGGAGAGGGAAGGTTTCTGGAGTTTGAAGGTTTGTTTAGAAGAGTTCCTGTTTTTGTTGAAGATTGTTCGGTTTTCCATAGGAGTTATAGTTTTAGATAGAATAGGTGTAGTTTTAAGAATAAGAGTTGTACTTTTAGGTAGTGCAGGTGTAGTTTTAGGTAGAAGAGCTGTATTTTTGATGAGAACAGTTGTTCTTCGTTGTTTATTTTTTTTGTTTTGTAAATACATTTCTTGACGTTTTACTGGCCCAGTCTCTCTTTGTATTCACTGCGATCACACGTGGCTGTGGCAGACAAGCGGTTTCCACTTGCTCTGAGCTTGCAGAGCTGGAGGGGCCGTGGGGCTGGCGCTGGGTGCTGGGGCACCCCAACTGTCCTCATGTGGGCTCCCTGCCCTGGCAGAGCAGCTCTTTCAGGCTCTCTGCAGCTCTGGGCAGGGATGGGCTCGGGCTCGGCCCCAAAGCTCTGGGCACTCACTCTGACCCCTCGGTGCCTGCGGGGCACCTGGTCTGGTGCTGCCAGCGGGCACAGCCTGTGCCAGCGCTGACCAAGGCTTCTCGGGCTGCTCCCCAAGCTGGGGGAAACACGGCCACGTACAAGGAATCAGTCATGGAAGCACAGAATCACAGCGTGCCCAGGCTCAGGGCACTGCGGGGAGCAGCCTGCACCTGGCATCCCGTTGGATCCTGCTGCCCAAACCAAGCCTTTTACTCCCTTCCTCCCACTGAGTCCCTTGGTCCCCATCTCACAGGGTGGGAAGAGGGGCTGGGGCTGGAGCTGGTTTGGGTACCAGATGTTGGCGGCTGCAGCTGGAGCCAGGGTCACGTGCCGGTGCTGTCATGTGGGACCCTGCAAGCTGGCAGGGAGGGGGAGCTGCCAGCAGGAGAATGGCAGTGGGGTGCAGGGGGAGCTGCTGCGTGCATGAGGTGTGCGTGCAAATGCAGGCAGGGACACGCGAGTTCAAGGTGCGGAGCTGCTGCAGACCCCTCCTGAAGCAGGCAGCCCTCGACACACGCTGCTGGCACCACATCTTGTGCTGCCCTCGCAGGCTTCGCTGTGTGTGGGGTGCAGGGTCTCGCATGGGCTCTCCCGTGATGGGCACTGCTGGAGGATGTGCTGGGCAGGGCTGAATTCCAACCTCATGGCCACATCCCAAGTGCAGCACATGAGCACCTCTCAGATCGATCACTGACTGCTTGTGGGACAGGGAAGGAGCAAAGGACATGGTCCTGGTCCTTGTGGGGTTGGCCAGTGCAGCCTTCACCCATTTTATTGATTATTTAAGCACCAAAGCCTCCTACTGTGGGGATCTGTTACAGACCGCCTGATCAAGAGGACTCTGTGGATGAAGCACTCTATAAGCAGATAGGAACAGCCTCACGCTCGTAGGCCCTTGTTCTCATGTGGGACTTCAACCACCCTGACATCTGCTGGAATGACTGTAAGGCCTGGCACAAGCAATCCAGGAGGTTCCTCGATTGTGTAGAGGACAACTTCCCTCTGCAAGTAATAGAGGAGCCGACAAGGAGAGGTGCCATGCTTGACCTCGTGTTCACCGACAGGGAAGGGCTGGCTGGAAATGTGACGCTCCAGGGCAGCCTTGGATGCAGCGATCACAAGATGTTCGAATTTGAGGTCCTCAGCACAGTGAGAAGAGCGTGCAGCAAGCTCACTGCTCTGGACTTCAAGAGAGCAGACTTTGGCCTCTTCAGGAACCTGCTTAGTAAGGTTCCATGGGATATAGCCCTAGAGGGCAGGGGGGCCCAACACTGTTGGTTGATATTGAAGGATCTCCTACTACAAGCTCAGGAGTGTTGCATCCCGACTAGAAGGAAGTGCAGCAGGAGGGCCAGGAGACCTCCTTGGATGGACAAGGAGCTGCTAAGGAAAATTAGGAGGAAAATTAGAAGGAAAAAAGAGGCTTATAAAAGGCGGAAGCAAGGACAAGCAGCCTGGGAAGAATACAGGAATGTTGCCCGGGAAGCTAGGGCCCAGCTAGAATTAAACTTGGCTAGGGATGTTAAAGACAACAGGAAGGGATTCTATAGGTACGTGGCGAATAAAAGACAGATTAGGGACAATGCAGGCCCCCTGCAGAAGCTATCAGGCGAACTGGCTACCCTGGATTTGGAGAAGGCTGAGGTTCTTAATGGCTTCTTTGCCTCAGTCTTCAATGGCAAATGCTCTGACCGCACCGCTCAAGTCTTGGAAGGCAGACACAGGGACTGTGAGAATGAAGACCTTAGACCCAGGCTGGGCAGAGAACAGATTCAGAGCAGCCCTGCAGAGAAGGTCTTGGGGGTGTTGGTCAATGAGGAAACAAGCATGAAAAGGCTTCAGTGTGCGCTTGCAGCCCAGAAAGCAAACCGTATCCTGGGCTGCATCAAAAGGAGCGTGACCAGCAGGTCCAAGGAGGTGATCCTGCCCCTCTACTCTGCTCTTGAGAGACCTCACCTGAAGTACTGTGTGCAGTTCTGGTGTCCTCAACATAAAAAGGACACAGAACTGTTGGAACAAGTCCAGAGGAGGGCCACGAGGATGATCAGGGGACTGGAGCACCTCCCATATGAAGATAGGCTAAGAAAGATGGGACTGCTCATCCTGGAGAAGGCTGCGTGGAGACCTCCCAGCAGCCTTCCAGTATCTGAAGGGGGCCTATAGGGATGCTAGGGATGGACTCTTCATTAGGGACTGTAGTGATAGGACAAGGGGTAATGGGTTCAAACTTAAAGAGGGGAAGTTTAGATTTGGTATAAGGAGGAAGCTCTTTACTGTAAGGGTAGTGAGGCACTGGATTAGGCTGCCCAAGGAAGTTGTGAATGATCCATCCCTGGTGGTGTTCAAGGCCAGGTTGGACAGAGCCTTGGGTGTTATGTTTTAGTGTGAGGTGTCCCTGCCCATGGCAGGGGTGGTTGGAACTAAATGATTTTAATGTCCTTGGCAACCCTAAGTATTCTGTGATTCTATGATTCTACTGGGAGAATAAAATACAAGAATTATTTTCTACAGATATGAACTTAACATAGAGAGCTACGATGCATAGAGCACTAAGATGACTATTTTCAAGTAATAGGCCACATGTAGTGGATGGCTATGTGTGAACAATTTTGACAGCGTGATGTCTCCTGCAACCGTGAGATCATCAGGTTGTATTTTCAGAGTTTTATAGTCCAGTGTTAAATATACTCCCTGGGCTGAAGCATAACCATTTGATTTTAAGATGGGGCAGAAATCATTTTTGACAGCTCAAATAAAGGATTTCTTTTTTTTTAAGCTATTTTTGAGATGGAAATTATACACAGGTCATTTTCCATTACTAAGAAAAAGCATTCGAAATTCTTGGCAATTTCTCATAATTGTAAAGTAATAAGCAGCTTTGAAATAAGGATTTTCTTTTTATGCCAGCTGTATGCTCTTGCTCTTAATATTTGCATTTTAATACATCAAGAACAAAGACTTTTCTATGTATTGTTCAAACAAAAAATCTGTTTTCCAGTTTAGCTTGTCATTTCACAAGTAAATTAATAACCCTGAAAGCACTTTTAATACTGTCTATACAAAGACAGTATTTTGATATTATGGCAGAAAACTTTGCCAAATATGCACGAACTAACAAGTCTGAGTTTTTTTAAGCTAAAGAGGGGGAAAATGGTATGGGAGAAGTGACCATTAGCATGTGTGTGTCACTGAGTTTTCAGGTGTTTTTCCTATGTAAGCAATTGAGAACTGCACAAAGCTTAAGCCTTCAACTAAAACACCTGCTTGTTTTATTTCTCTTTAATATACACTCTTAGGTTCAATCTGGAACACCAACATCAACATGAATGACACTACCACAGTTTCTCCATGAAACAATTAAGCATAGGCACCTATTTCATCTCAGCTAATTCTTTCTTGTTCCCGTTTTCTTTGGGAGCAGCATTATATGGCAGCAACTGGGAGCTGCAGTTGATGTTATGTAAAATGGGTAAAAGCAAATCTTTTCTTCCAATCATAAAATGGTTTGGGTCTTAACTGGTTTGAGATCTTAAAGATCATCCAGTTCCACCCCTGCTGCTATGGGCAGGGAAACCTTCCACTAGACCAGGTTTACACCAAACACCTGATATCACCAGGTACTATTCAGCTTGTTTGAAAACATTTTTCTTCTTCAGAGCAGCAACCAGGTAGAAGGGAGGACACAAAGAAGGGGGAAAAGGGAACAGACTCACCCTCATTTTCATTTGTGGAAGTCAATAGAGTCCTGTGCAGTATGCAGGTCCTCCAGTTTTGCAACTGTCAAGATTGTAATTTCTTGACAACAAATTAGGGGTGCTATTGAGTCTCCTAAAGCAAATTCATATGATTTAGAAAACAGTAAATTGATTTTTAAACTGTGAACTATTTCTCTCCCTACTTATATTTTAAAAACTCAATACTGGCATAAATTAAAAAAACCTCTTCTCTTGTACAAAATATGAAAGCTCTTTGAACTAATAGCACATTTAATAGTAAAAGGTGCTTCAATGACCTTTGAGTCCAGGTCCAAAGAGAAACTCCAACTTTGGTATATTCAGAATGCAGAAAAACTTGGGAAATATTATTTTTACTGTTGTTCACATTTCTGTCTTGAATTCAAGTCCATCAGATATGATATACTTCAAGAATGACAAGTTACAGGCAGAAGGTATGCTTTCAGAATTCAGGCCTGAATTCAATACATCATAAGTAAGCAGTATGTTGCATTTGTGTCACTAATCTGTTGAAATTAATAAGGTGTGTGCTAAGTATTATTTGCAGATTAAAAGCTAGATATTGATCCTCTAATTTAAAAATATTAAATTCATTTTTCAGGAGTTTTAAACAAAATGTCCCTGTAGCTGTTCTCTCTTCGAGCAGCAGTAATGCAGGCAATATGCAGTGTCATGCTGCCATCTGTAGTTTGAAGAAGAAAATAGACCCTACAATTCAAATTGCAAAAGAAGCCACTGCACACACAGGTAGCATTTGTAGAACAAAAAATTACCCCAGCTTCAGAAAAGACAAGTGTTCGAGATGCACACATTTGCATGCTCACATTCTAGTAAGTGAGCAAGACTTGGGGCTTTGTTTAAAACATCAGCAAGACCTCTATCAGGAGTCCTAGGTTGGACTTGGTCCTAGACGGCTGCCCTTCTCCCCACCACCCCCACTCCAAACCAAAGGTCTTTTGGATGAAAAACTATCTGTTCACATCATCAGCACCCTTGAAAATCAGGTTTCAATTTAACTGTGTGACAGAGATTTGACAATTTATATTATACATGTTAAAACCCTCACTAGCCCTAAACTTCAAGGCAGACATTACCAGCTCAGAAGAAGAAAATTTATAGAAGCAATATCCACATCCAAAATTATTCAGGCATCAAGGTTCTTCTGCTCTCAAAGGAGCTCTTCATTAAATTGTATACTTCTGCAGAAATCTAAATTTTGAAAAAGTGAAAATTGTGACAAATTTCTGCAAAAATAAAACTAGAAACCTGTTTTCCTGTTAAGAAAATAATGGTTTTGAGGGTTTTTTTAAATGTGGAAATCCTGTAAATTACCAATTTCTGCCTTCCAGAATCTGACACTTCCTGGTTTTATTCCCTTTGGTGGTGGTTTGTGTTTTGGGTTGGTTTTGTTTGGGTATTTTTTTAGTTATTATTTATTTTACTAAAAAGCAGAGCACAAAGAAGTTCCTCATTTAATTTGAGTTCTGACTGAAATCCCAGAAGCAGATGACATTTTTCTGATGTCCTCTAGAGGCATTACAAATACATTCACTTTGATTTTATAATTCTTGGAAGATTACAAAATCACTTGAAACCCTGGTTTGCATTAGCAAAGACTGCACAAGTTACAACAACACTTAAATTACTACTAGAACCTACAATATTATTGATAGTTTTCAACTGCCTCTGAAGTTGCTTTATAAATCTATAGATACATAGAAAGCTGGAAGCTCTTTACTAGCGGTAGCACTCAGAAAAAGCTTCTCACCAGCTGACAGGGGAAAGAAACCACTAACTGCAAACAACACTTCTATCTGACAATTCAGCTCAAGACTATTTACAAGCAAATATTCAGCTTCCAGTGAAATTTATAACCACAACCTCAAGACTTCCTAGTGAATATTGACCATGCAACCTGGTTTCCTCTGGTTGATGCTGCCGGAATTAAGTGTTGTATCAGCTGTCTGCTCCTCACCTTCCCCTCAAAACCAGATCCTAATGCAGCTAGGGAAACAACTATGTGTTAACTCCTGTATGACACGGACAGATACTCCATGTGTGCCAATCACACTGTCTGGCAGATACTAGCATTTTTAACAAGTTCAGGTGGTTTTCTTTTTATGTACATACATTTATTCCGCAGTACAATAACTAGTAACAGCATCTTTTAAGTGTGAGGTAATATTGGCAATACCTTATAGAATAAGTAAACCTAAGTTTTAGACAGTATAATCCACCACCACTCAGGTTTAAAGTTCAGTTGTAGTCTAAAGCTGGTTTTATACCCCCTCAGTCATGTTATCCCTCCTCACAGCCCAGAATGCCTATCTAATGAATTGTTTTGTAGGCAGCAAGTCAAAATTGTGTCTTGAGATTGAGCTTATAGTTTATCCTGTACATCACAAGTCCTGTTACTGGGATATCTCACATCCCTTACTCAAACTCTCTTTGGAATAGGGTCTATTTGAATGTCTGCCTACAATACATAGCAGATATGAAGCTATTTTGTTTAACAGCATCCTTAGAAAAACACACTGTAGTCTCATGAGCATACATCAAGTAATATTATAAATATTATTTCTTCCACTTCTCTAAATTAGGGGAAAAAAGGGGTCCTTGCATGTTCTTCTGAAGAGTTTTACTCGGAATCTTTCCTGACTCAACAGGAAAATGAGCACTTTCCCTTCTTTATTTTTAAACCTGTGACATGGCGGAACATTCCCCAGAAACAAATGCCACTGCCTGGACCTGTTCATTTGTAAAGCTTCAATCTGAGGTCAGCATTGCTTTCCCTGACCCATCCATTCTCTAAAGGGGGGGGGGGGAATTACTGCTGGTGTCCACAATCTGCCCGGTTAATATCTGCAATTCAAAATATTAAAAATAATAAAAAAGCAGTGCATACAAATTTAAGAGGTCTAGACAGCATAACACCTGCATAGGCTTCTACAGTATTTGACTCTCTGACCTCTATTCAAACCTAAATCAGCTCATTTTCCCTTTTCTCCTGTAACTCCGTCCACATAAATTCAGCCGGCAGTAAATCTTAATCTGCCAATACTAAAATTCGCTTTTATACGTGCTAGTGAACAGCAGCTGTGTGCTTTTAAGGCTCATTTCTCAAGAGGCACAAAATATAAAACAAAGAAGAAATCAATATGCAAAAAATATCACTTACAAGGGTCCAGTTTGTCCAAGTCCATTTCACTGCTAGAACCAGACAACTCTCATTTTACTCTGCAAAGACCAATTACTTCGTTTTTATTAAAACCTTTGTCAGAAGACTATTAAAGAAATTTGTTCCAAATCTGCTTAAGTTAAAGTACGCATTTTTGTGTTCTTTTCAGCTTTTGGAGAAATTTTGCTATTTCACTTTAAACAAATCTCATTTAGCTCATTCATGCCCAGATGAAACTCCAGAGCTCACATAAAGGGTACCGATTACCAACAGTTCCTCATTTCTCACTTCCTAAAAATGACCCAGAGGCAGAACCAATTGTACAGTACCCATCTCTAGCATATGTACCTTTTAGTTTTCAGTGCCATTGTTTCTTGCTGAATATTAAGAAGGGTTTTATATGTTTCACAGACTCCTGCATCAAGATTTTAAGTTTCCTCAAAGAAGAGCCACACTAACATTCTTGTGTAAGCTAATGTCTTGGTTCTTAAAGTCAAGAAATGCACAACACGTTAGCTAAATCCAAGTAACTACATATTCCAAGAACAAAACTGCCCTGGAGAAAGAGACAGCTTTTACCGCCTATCAACTATGAGCAGTAAGTTGAAGTTCATAATCAAGAACCTTGCTTTATAGCACTTTCCCCAAAAAAGACTGTTTTAACTTTTAATGAAGGGTTTGCTGGTGGGATTGATTAACTGCAGACTTGGAAGTGTCAAATGCACAGGTTACAAAACCTTTAAGTGGAGAAATACTTCCAACAAAAAGCTTTCTGAGCAGGGAAAAATGCAACACTGAAAGGCTAGTTCCAATATTACACTCTCCCGCTTAGGAGGTAGAGGGAGATTAGGATAAATCCAGTTTCTCAAAGGGTAATTTTTCTGCAATCCTTCAGATTATTTCACAGGACACAATTCTATATAATTACAGAGATACTTCTTGAGAAGTTTAATAAACATACGCAACATTAGAACTCCCCCTATGATAAACCTCAGTCTTACGCACTGATCTGCATTATGCACATAATCATCACCTCCAAATTTTTTCTAGATGCAACAAACTTCAATAACCCACTAAGGAGCCACTTACCTTTTCTCTCCCTTAAAATAATTATAAAAATAAAAAAAAATAAAATTAAAAATCAAAGCTCCCCAGAAAAGAAAACCCACTCAAACAACAGGACACAAAAACAAAGAAACCCACCAAAAAATCAAATAAGCTAACAGGAAATTTATTTCAACTCAGTCATATTTGCTACTGTGTGTATTATTCAGGTACTTACAAACTATATAGACTACTTTTCAAGAATGTTTTAGTAGTACTACGTAAGTGAATAATGCACCAGTAAGGACTCTCATTGTAAAAGATTTGTACAAAAAAAGAAAAGCCTTTGTAGAAAGGATAGTGGTTTTTATTGCAGTCTTAGAAAATACGAATTATGAAAGATACAAAATCAACTGTTGTAATTATCTGTTTATTTTACAATCTGTATGCCATCATACTCTTATGGCTTTAAGATAGTCTGTCCAAAGTACTTAAAACATGCTTTAACAAAGTATTTTACAGTTTCAATATCGAATATTTCTTTACTGAAAGAAAAAAAAAACCTCTAAAACATTTACCTGAGAATTCTGTATCATAAAATCATCATTCATTCTTAACTTTTGCAAGTTGATGGTATAGGCGATAGACGTCAACATGCAACTTGTAGGTCTACTCTATTAAATAAATATGTTTAAAATTATTTAGATGCAGCTGGTTAGGCAAAAACCTACCCTCAAACTTCATCAGGTTCTTCATAGGTTTAAAAACATGACATTAATTTTATCACATGTCAATGACAGCCATGATTTCTGCACTGGAAGTCCTGCACTGTTTGCGGGGTGGAATTCAGACCCTGGCTGATCACCAGACTGGAGCAGTGGAGCACAACTGGATATTCTGGCCTCTGAATTCAGTAATCACTGACTTTGTTTTCCAACATCCATAGCCAAGTGTGGCAAGGGCTTGGGCCACTGGATACATTTCAGTTCCCAGCCAGTCATACTCTACATGTATGCTCCACCCCTTCATAACAAACATTTAACCCAAGTAATTCCATTTCAGAGTATGCATACTATTAGGACAATGCTTTAATGTCATCATCCACGTCATTTCCGACTATCACCAGCTTTAGAAGTGATATTATGTATAGACAGTAGAGAAGTTTGGGGCCTTTTTTTTTTTTAATTGTTTCTTATTGTTTGCTTTTTAAATAAAATAGAGACTTAGGAACAAAACCCTCTCCAGGGTGGCAGCACAGAGGGAGGCAGGATTAAATTAACCAGACATACAGACGCTGGAGAAAAAAATCCAGAGCATTTCATGAGTAATACATATAGAGAATCAACGTATATCAGTGACAGTCATTTAAAAGAATTTTAATTCAATTATCTGAAAATATATCCAAAGCAGTAGAAGTCTCATGATGTCTGCCATTCAGTATTTCTGAATTTCAGCTGCTGCAAGCACTGTGATTCATACAAGCTATGCTCCATTAACATAAAATTTACCCTTAAAAAAGTAATGATATATTATGAAAATCCCAGGATATCACTAGAGATTTGAATCAACTTTCAAACCCATAGGTGAGGTAGTGTAGTCACTTATATTACGTGCTGGTTATGAGACGTACTGCTGAAATTTGTCAAATCTTTAATTTTTGCTTTAAGTGGCTTAATAGTCTCAATATAATTATTAATGCTATATTACCTATGGGGAGGGAGGAAGAAGAAGAACTTGCCAAGAACAAGTTTTGTCTCACTGCAAGATAAAGCTGCAAAGCAGTATTTACAACAGTCCTTTGCTCAGTTGCTGCCTACTGTACATGCACACAAAGACAAAAAGCTAATATACATTCTGAGGTAGGAAATAAAGAATTCCACTGGCTTGTACAAGATTCTTCATGTTTTGTAAACCAGCAAAACCAAAGTTTTCTGTGGCGAGGTTAACACTTATTTCTGATGTGAGAATAACATCTACATAACAAAGCATCATCGGTATACAATACGCATCGACTGCCATGTAAAAATCTAAAAAATGGGGATTACTTTTTTGTGGCAGAATTTCTCCTTTGCAAAGTAATAAAGGAAATCTCTTCAGCTCATTTTCTTATTCTTCTTTCCTATATGTTTATACTCATAGCACAAGCCACTGAAAACATACTTTTATGGCTGAACTTGTAGTATCCTGAAGACTAAAATTCTGAAATATATCTTACTGGTCCCAGAAGAAATACATTTGTAACTTACTTGAGGCAATTAGGCACTGAAATAGAAGAATTTGGTGCCTGAATACCTTGATATATATATACATATGTGTATATAATCTGTCCTTAAACTTTCACAATACTTTGATTCCAACTTATCACAAACAGCAGCGAGCTTCAAAGTTCTAGGACAGTAAGTCACAATACAGCAAAGAATTTGAACAAGCATATGGGATTCAGATGCACACTAATCAAAGAATTGCATCAGTTGAAAACTTCTGCCTTTCCCAGTATGTTGTTATTCCTCCCACATTGTTTAGAGGAGAGAGCAGTATGCTGCAGCATCTCCGCTGTTCCAGTTGTCTTAACTACGTACCTGAGAGCTCAGACAAAAGTATATATTCAATAAAAGCTGGCTCTGGTACTGGGATGCGAACAGCAGGAAGCAATGAGCTGTTCCAGAGCACACTTGCCAGAATCTCCTCATACTGTCATGTTATCCTAACTCATCTACAAAATAAACATTTACAGAGCTATGTATGCTTTGTAAGGTTTGCCTACCAGGGGAAAAAAATAAATAAATCCTTAGAGATAAAAATTCCAGGCATAGAAGTCATTGTGCATGAACAGGAGGCTTTTCTTGAGATGCAAAGTGGCATTAGGTACTGTGACATAAATCAGAGTGAAGGCTGCTCTATACCTGAATGAAAACTTTCTCACAAATAAAACATCTATGAGCAGTTTATACTTACCAATGGCTTTCCTGAACTCTCCTTGGCATCACTACACAGAAAAAGCTCCAAGGCTGACACATACAAATTACACTCTAAATTAGAGACCAAACCCAAAGCTTGCCAAGTAATATAATGACCATGTAAGCGTCAATGTATTTTCAAAATATAAAGTTTCATCTTTTCTTTCACTTAGTAAGTTACTTTGCAATAATGCTCAATCTCATTTTTAGTTGCGATGTTGAGATGCTGGCAGTAAGAAGAGAATATATTCACTCATCTGTAGTGCATTTGTCAGTCATTTGCTGACAGAAGTCTGTGATACCTCCACTCTGTCCACACTGTTCCACAAGTGTGGCTTTCTCAACTGTTCTCACAGAAACTGGATGAAGTTCTCGTACTTGATCGTATGTTGTATCACACACACTTTTCACAATCTGATAACAAGAACTCTGCTCATTTGTAGGTGTAACACCTGAAAGACCGTCTGCTAATTCTATACATGCTGGCATTGCAAGCTCACTATCAGATGGAGCTGTTCGTTCTCTCTCCGGGAATAAAAATGAAAGTGGGCAATCTGAGGATGAGTATTTTGCAAGTATCTGTATTTGCTCATGACTCAAGGCCGCTTCCTTACACACCTGCTGGCAAAGTCCAGTCAGATTCTCCTTTGTCTCACCCAGAGTTGACAAAATGAGGTTTCTTTCCTTCAGCAAGTTCTCCTTCTCATTTTGCTGCAAAAGGAAAAACAACTTTTTAGTCTTTAGGTTTATCTTCCTATCAAAGCTAAAACAAGACAAAGAAATCTGGCCTGCTGAAAATGTAAGTAATTTGGCAGTCAGAAGGTAAACAGCAACACAAATGCCTATCAAAAGGACAAGCTTAACTTCTCGTGAAGCATCATCAACTCAGCTATTTGAAGCGTTTTTTCAGACATATGATTTTTTCAGTACTTATGCTGGCAGGCATAAGAGTGATTTGTAGTTATTGAATAAAATGAAACCTGGCTTCAATTCCTGTAAGTATTCCTGAAACACTAATTCTACAGGGTAACACATTTAAACCATTACCACAGGGTCTACAAAATATTAAGCAGAGCAGTCTTCATGTATACTTGTATTTTAAAAGTTAAAAATTAGAAAACCAGACATTACATTTTCACTAGTGACACAACTCTCCTAGATGAAAATAAATTCAAGAAGTGCCATTTCTACTGTAGAACAAACAATGGAGTTACAAGTTTCTAAAGTAAACAGAAAAGAGAGGAAAGAAAGAAACAGAAAACACTAAAATTGTAAACAAAATATTTTCTCTGGAAATGCAGTTTCATTCAAAGCACCAACAAGAACATTGGAAATTAAAAAAATTTAGAGAAGAGTGACAGATCAGTAAACTTAAGAACAGAGGTGCCACTAAGTGAGTAACATACTACTGCAACAGGAGAGACCAGCTGAATGCTTGAGTTTTATTTATACAGCTAAAATGCTTAGGAGTGGCAGACACCTCTCAGACATAAGACTGTCCTAACTCTGAAGAGCTTACACTCAAGCTACATGATGCTAAAGGATTTTCCAAACACAGGGCAGTGAAAGGGATGGCAATTCACTATTGAGTATCAAGTAGAAAAGGTAGCATTCATTAAAAATTGGCTTGTTAGGGGCTTTTTGTTGTTGTTTTCTGTTCGTTTTGGAGGGGTTTTGTGTGGTGTGGTGTGTTGTTTTTTTTTTGCTTTACTTCACTCTCACGAGTTTTTCTGAGACTTCTGACACAAATGGCTGAAGATGACAGGACATTAATAACTGAGAGGTCTAACGATGGAAACAACATCTGGAAAAAAGGAAAATTAGGAAATGGCAAAGAAGGACAGGAAGCAAGCAAGGCTACAATGAAGCACCTGCAAGAAAAGGACAAAAACAAAACTCTGCCATGACATACACATCCTATAATTGATTAATTGAAAGAGGAGGCAGTGTTCTGAAGTCATACAAAGCTTAAATTTCTTTAAAATTACATAAAACAGACTGCGTGTTACCCCTACTGCCACATCAATTCATTCTTAGAAAGTTTTATTATTTTTAAACCTCCTCATGTCTCCTTTTGCAGGGGAAACTCATACTGCAACCCCCACAACTGTTTTGAAAGAACTGATGAACGTTCAATGGCATTTTGCAAGAGAAGCAGTTGTTGCCAGTCCTTTTTGCCCAAAATCATTAGAAAGAGTGTTTTGCTAATAAACTTCAACTTGTCAGCATACTGGGAACAGCTGTTGCCACATCTAATCTGAAATCACTTTATGTATGTTTTGGGTAGGTAGAGGCACTCAACCGTGTATTAGAGACAGACGTAATTATCTGCACTGCTGTTTAACACAAACTTCAACATCCAGAAATAGTTATTACAGCATTTACACTATATTTATTACAATTCTATGTTCCCATCTGAAGTTGTTGACAGATTGACACATTTAAATGCTATAGTTTTATTTTAATAGCATTATACTAACACTGCAAAGTAACACCAGCTAATTTTGAGGAAATAATGAAATTGAGAGGTCTTCTTATTCTTGGGGTGAGGAATGTATTTAGTTCACACACTTCCTCTCCCTGCTACAGTATATATAACAAGATCTCAAATTCATTTCTTGGATCCTAGCTTATTGTGTGTCACTCACTGACTCATTCTCCTCCTGAGCCACAGAATCTTCAGATAAATAGTGCTTCTTCAGCCCAGTTGTCCTTTACCCTGTTCCCCCTCACATGTACCCTCATTTTAAAGCTCTAAAGTGAGAAAGTACAAGGAATGTGAATATACACAGGTGCTCTGAAAGAGCTGTTACCAACAAGTAAACACCTCCTTGAGTGGCCCACATGTATTCTCAAATATGGAACATTAGTGAACAAGAACACATAGGTTCACCTGCAAGATCAATAAGCAAAGATTATAAAGGGGTCAAAAACTACTTTATCAGTAGAGATCAAGAGAAATGACCAAACTTAATTGTCCTAGGAAAGTTAGATTCAGTACAAAGCAGCATACCCCTTCAATATAAATAGAGCTTAACATAAGAGTTTCAATTCTACAGAATCATTTGGGTGGGGATGTACCTCTGCAGGTCCATAGTTCAACATCCTTCTGAAAATAAAGTCTGCTCTGGGCATGATCAAGCTCAGGCTCTGCTCAGCCATATCACTTAAACTTCTAAGGACAGAGCATGCACAACCTATGTGGGTAACCTGCTCAATCACCTGCTTGCCCCCACTGGAAAAAAGTGCTTGCTTATATCTAGTTGAAATCTCTCATTTTAATTTATGACAATGCATCTTGTTCTGCTGTGAAGTACTACCCCTGGGAAGCCAAAGATCTTACACCCCCCTGTGGCTAAATGATCTTGAGGAATTCACCATAGATATGCACAGGTAGCTATCAAGTCCCCCCACAATCATTTCCTCTCCAGGCAAAAGCTCCATTTCCTCTGCCCCTCACTATAGGAGTAGTCCAAATCCAGCCACCCTGGTAGCTTTGTCCTAACCATGCTCCAGTTTGCAAATGTACTTTTGGCACTGGGAGGGATCAAAACTGGGCAAAAGATTCAGTCTTGCATATTTCTCTTTTTATTGCCTTTTAAGAACAAGAAATTATATTAACATATGGTTGCAGAGAAATCTGGATGCATTAATGCCTCAGCTCCAAACTTGATAAAACTGCTAAAAAGGCAAGTGGCTTTCTGAGTTCTACTATATCTTCTGTCTTTCTGCAAGGGTCTTACTTTTAAGATTCACAACTCGGGAAACAGTTCACCAGCCCAGGTTGATATGCTACAAGAACAATACTTATACAACTAGCAGTTGCATAACTGTATACCTGATCATGAGCAGTATCATGAGCTGAAGCACACAGCAAGGGAGAAGAAAGAGATAGAAAACAAAACAGAAGGATGATGGGATGATGGTTTGGGAATGACTCTGTACAATTAAGCTCAATGCTGACGGCCTTCAGAAACACCATTCACCAAAAATTGTGCTGTGATGCGCTTTTAGTTGAAAGGAAACAAGTCCGCAGAAGGGAAGACATGTACTTTAAGGAACAGAAAATCTAGAACTGCTATCAAGAAGATGTCTGTTATCATTTAAGACTGACAAAATCTTCTAAACTTGAGCAGAAAAAGCAGTAAATGACATCGCTCTCCAAATACTGCCAGATATCCAGCCAAGACGTTTAAAGAAAGACTCAAGTCAACAGCAATGAACTTTTATACATACCAGTTTTTCAATTTCAGATTCAAGATTTTGTATGCAGTCAAGTTTTCTTTTACGACATCGCTGTGCTGCAATTCTATTTTTACTTCGTCTTCGGATATCATGAATACAGTCCAATTGTTCAGGAGTTAATTTATGCATTTTCAGAAATGACTGAAAGTCATTCCTGGAAAGCGAGATAATCCTTTGGGCATTAAATGGCAGTTTTACCTGGAATGCAAGATACAGTTGTAAATCAAAGGTGAAATTGATACACACAAACAGGAAATTCAAGTTTTCATTTTAAGCATTCTTTACCACACAAACCTAAATTCCCAAATTCAGATATAAGAGCAAGCTAATGTAGACATCAGGTGAGGTGGATAAACCAAGAGGTTTCAACCGGATGAGTCCAAGCATAGGTGAAACAGAGTACCTCACACAGTTACACTAGATCCTCAAAGCATATTCCAAGTGGATGAAATCTATCTATGTGTGCACCAAGTGATCAGTTGATAAGAGTCTAGGAAAATAAGTTATGGTTAGGTGGTGCACAAAACAGGTGTGAAGAATCACTAATAAAGTATGGAATTTCCCCTAAGCTGCTATTAATACTGCATCCTATATGCATTTCCCAGAATAACACTGTTTCAGGTGAGACCAGGGCATATACCTCTAATTTTGTGTAGGAAAAGTTCACCTGAAACAGGCATTTACTTAAAATATAGAAATTACAATATCTGTCTTGTATTCTCATGCTGGAGAAGAAAGAGAACCAGGCTTTGGCCACTGTCTGTACACCTGACCAACAGAGGCAGGAGCTTCTGAAGCAGATACAGAACATGAAGTCCTGATTAATACTGAAAAACCTTTACAAAATAATTGCCATGTTATGAAGTATCCAACTTTATTTTAATATTTTATATTATTTATTCATTTAATACTTTATTTTAATCCTTACATTTGAGTATACTAAGTTGCAAAGTATATTACCTTGCTGCAGTCAAAGGTCTGAATTTAGCTTAAAAAGCAAACCTTTGTGTTTGGCTTCCCCTGGTGATTAACAGGCAAAAAAACCACAGTACTGCCCTCAGCAGTGATGCCATTTACTTCTTTGTAATGTAAAGACAAAGAATGCATTTAATAAATTCCGGCCTTCTATTTAAGGCCCAGCATTTTGAAAAGAAAATAAAAAACCTAGTGCTTTACAAACAACTGAATTTTCATGATCCACCATACAGAGAATCACACTGCAATTCTACAGTTTCAAGAACCGTGACAGAAATAATTCTACGTATATAGTAAAGATCTTTTTACCTACGTATGGCATCTAAAACATTACCAAAGCAAAGATATAAAGTATTAAATAATTTCTGCAGTTGGAAGAACAAATATAACCTCAGTTTTAGAGAAAGCAATACTATTAAAGCACACAGCTACTGAATCCAGCTTGAAAACTCCATTTTTATTTCACAGTAAATATATAGTATCATTTATCTCCCAACTTCTCCCCACAACTCAGGATAAGCCAAAGAAAACTGTTAAGTTTCTATAAAACAAAGTTCCAAGAAATTTACAGATTAACTGAAGCAGAGAAAAGGAAAAAATAAATCTAATAAAGAACCCCATACCTTGGTTTAAGACTTGCAACCTTTTCTGATAAAGCTGCTCCAGAGAAATATCTGACCAGATCTAATATTAAGCATGTACCACTTCAATAGCCTACCAAAACCTACCTCTTAAATCTCCCAAAATGAACAGTGATGTTCCATATAAATATTTGGATGGTTAAAGTTTAATTTCCCAGACTTTCAAAACAACAAACCACCAAAACAAGCAACAATACATGAAGCTCAGAATTAGGCTTTTGAATAGGGCCTTAAGAGACAGGGAAGCAAAGGATACAACAGGATGTTCTTACCTCACATTCTTGTTCTCTTGCTGAACAGGATTCACTGTCTCCCTCAGTGTCAGTTTCAGAATCCTCTCCCAAACTTATCACGTAATTGTAGGGACACTGTTCTTGTTGCTGTCCCTGAACACAATCTGCACTGCTTATTTCAGGGCTGTTGGAGCATCCTTCAGCACTAAGGTTGCTTATAAAGGGGCAGTTGACAGAATTTAATGTTGTAAAAGTTCGTTGAGAGCAAGGTTCAGGGCTTTCACTGATCCTGATACCCAGCCATGGGCACTCTGTTTTTTTCCCTGAATATGCTGGCTCCAAGCTCTCTTGTGGAGCTGCAGGTGGTAAATGTATTTGACAGGCTTCTGTGCTATAAATATCACTCCAAAATCCTTTTGCTAGATGTTCTGCTACCTCTCTCTCCACACTGCTTCGATCACCAGCTGATGTAATGTTACTGGCTTCCCTAGGGCACAAATCAACCTTTGCAGGTGTGTCACCTTGACTTTCAATTTTGTCATTCCCAACTGTAGTACCTGATACAGTTTTATCAGCCAAGACTGTGTTTTGCATACTACTGAAATTCAAGTTACCATATTGCTCACAAGTATGTAAAAAAGATGCAGAATTGAGTCCATGAGGTGCAGTAGAGTTTTGGGCGAGAGCAGCAAGATCCATTTTCTCCACTGGACATGACACAATCTGAGTCACAGAATCTCTCTCTGACTCTTCCTTTTTCTCAATGCCTTCCTCTCCTTCTTCCATTTTTACCTGAGTCTCTTCACATTTTGAGACCAGCTGCATAGGTACACACTCCTGAGCTTTTTGTACACCGTCACTATCAGATATTTCCTTCTCAAGTAAAGTTGCAATTGGCGGCATCTGAATGTCTTTAATACTGGAACTGGACTCTGAAGCATGAACTTTGTCATTTCCAAATGCTTTCTGGAATTTCCTATACTTTGGGCACTGGGAAGATGAGCTGGAAACACTACCCCTTTCTAACTGCACAGGATCACACGCTTGATTTGCATGGTCTTGGAGAGCCGGTGATGATTTAGCATTTTCATCATCTTTACAGAACTTTGTATCAGGAGTTTGAAAATAATCTTTTTCTAAAAGTTCTTCTGCTTCATCATCTATTTCTAGGTCTCCATCATCCACATTGCCAATCTTGGGGTTTGCTTTCTGACAACGTTGTGTACAACACTTCTTCCTAGGATAATCCTGCTGATCCAACTTGAAGTCCAAAAATTTGAATTTGAGAAACTGAAAGCAAGACTCTTCAATGTTGCGCACACCCAAAAATTCAGCACATTTGCAAACTTCAGACACATTGTCTTTATTTAAAATAAGTTTAGCTGTGTATGCAAACTGAAGCAAAGGACTAAATCCTTTAAGTGTTACCTATTTAAAACAGAAAAAAAGAAAATAAAATATTAATATGGCAAATATGGGTTTAAATAAAGAAACACAGGGAATCCAGATTTACCTGTGAGTAAAACGTTATGAACAGGACATTACAACACAAAAGCAGTAGATTTGCATGCCACAGAGAAAACCTGGTCATGCTCATTCTGAAACAAATCTTCTGATACAGTATTATTCTGTATATTTCATTCACTGTGTTCACTTTTGTTCCCTTTTCTTCACTGTGATCCATCTCTTAATAAAATGTTCTGAAAGTACCATACTAACAGTTGAAAATATTACACTGTACACTGGAAACCAGTAACTTTACAGAGGTATCTTTCAAACTCAAGCTGTACATGAATTACCCTAGAGTAAGATCAAAATGCTGCTGGTATTAACTAGTTTATTTAAAGAGAAATTACTGTTATTTGCTCACTTATGCACCGCTGATACAAAAAAAAAAGTTCAAAAAAACCCCCCAGAATTTGACCACACATGATTTATTACTAGAGCTACCTACTCCTTTCTTCCTCCCACAGATGAAATGAATTGTATCCAAAACTGTACAGCAAAACCAATTATTCTCCTTTTAAAGTCTCTTTGGAGTAGGCAGTTTTAATTCAACATTTCCATCTGCAGAGCAGTTGTCTAACAGGGAACTCACAGATAAAAACTGTATCATTACAAACTAAACAAGATCATCATCTATGCATGATGAAATTACTAAGGACTCAGCCAGAAAGCAGTGAACAGACCAACATATTACAAATTGCATGACACTTCCTTTAGTCTTTCTCTGCAAGTGAAGGATAAACAGTATGTTTGCTATTACTACTCAAACTCAAGCTCACATTCTGCTGCCCTCCATTAAAATGAACAGGATTTTATGATGAAGTGTTACATTAGATGCATTAGTTATGCTGAGTCCCTCTGCCAGTAAAATAATTAACTATACATGCAATTTAATTTGGGAATCTGAGGGCTTGTTTTGTTTGGGTTTTTAGTGGTTGTTTGGGGTTTTTTCTAAAGAACACATAACACATGAAAGGAAGTTGGAGAGATCTGCACAGAGACAGTTCAACAAAACTGGTTGTAAACTCTTATGACTTATCTAAAGAATTCTTAAACTAGCACATGAAACATGCTGTGGAGAGAAAAATACTGATTACACCACCACATTAATTCATCCTTAATAATGTGTGGAAGTAAAGTGTAGCTGGTTATCCTCAACAAGATAGAACACTAGAAAGACTCTTGGTCTGAGTGACCTAGAAAATACTTTGGGTGATTAAAAAGGTTAAAAAAAAAAAATCAAGTCAAACTATGTGATCAGTGTTTGTTTCTCTTAAATATGCAGTTTATGAAACTGACTCATTTCAAAATATCTAGCAGTTCCCAGAAGAGAAGCTCAAGTTGCTGAGTCTTAAAATGCTCGCAGATATAGTGATTAAAAGATGAGATTCACTGTTAGTAGTTTTGCCTGTTGCTTCAGTAGATTCAGTTCTTGCCTCAGTAATACCAAGTTACATTAAAAGTGCTCCTAAGTCTACGTTGTAGTAATATCAGGTTGATTATGTTCTTCCATTTGCTGTGTAAACTCTGGTCCCTTCTAATTCAGGTTTATGTCATGGGTTCATTATAACACTGATGCTTTGCGATAGAGATTATTTTTCTCCTCTGCAACTTTGACGTATGTTACTTATTCTTCAAATATCCTATATTTTCCATCATCCTAAAGTAAAGTTCTTTTCAACATCATTAGTTTTACATATCACTAGTTCCCCTATTCTACGCCAAATCATGGCTTTGTGTCCCCAGCATCCTACTTCCCTTCCACACCAGCTTCCAACATTACTTTTAATCTGAGACACATTCAGGCTATCAACATATTAAGCCATTAGGAAAAAAAATAAGAAAAAAAATGAGCACAGACAAAGTTAAGACAGTTAAGTAAAGAAGTGACATAATGGTACTATGTTGTAATATATTTTTATAATATTCATTGATCAATACAGAATAGCAAAGACCACTAAAGTTCTTTAAAAAGACCACTTAAACCCTTTTAGTTTTCAGTTTTCCCTAAAACCAGAAAGGACTGTGGTAACAAAGAATCCTTGTGCTTATCTCAGTATGCTACAAGAACAGTGAGGTAGCTACCTGACTGAAGTACAGGCTTTCTGAACACATCATCTCTGCATCAGTACTCAACTCAGTCTTGTATATGAGCAAGTCTATAACGTAATATCCAGCATCAGCAAAAATACTGATTGATGTGCACCTTTTTTCCAAAAGGTTTTTTTATTCTAGTTGAGTTGCCAACAATTTGCATGTTATTTCTCACCCTCAAAGCTAATAATCATAAGTGTACCTCCCAGAAAGCCACTGATTATTTAACATTCAACTCTTTGGGTTGTGCTCAACAGCAGCAATAACCACAGTACTTTGAGGCTCTTCACTTTCCATCTACATGTACAGCATTCCACAAAAAAAATCCAGTCGCTTGCCTCATGCGTCTTATACCTTAACTAAAGGCCAACCTGAATCTTTAAACATCTTGGATGCTCCAGATATATAATAAATTTTCTTTCCTACATATGCCAGGTTCTGCATCATTGCCAATGAACACCTGTAAATCCAATCTAAGAATAAGTATTTTAGGAATAAAAAAAAAAGTAATTGGAATACATTTTTTTCAGTCTTAAAAGTAATAAAATAGTGAAAAAAAACCCACATCAAGCTGATAATGATCAGTGTGTAAAAAGGATGGTGTACAGAGCAGAAGAAAACTGTTAACAGTAAGCAAGGCATATATGTTGTATTACTTGAATATACCAAACCTTAAGGATAGTGATTTCAAGACTTTACTATCGTAAGCTTTATTTATTACTCTAAAAGTATTCTCTTTTCATATAAGACTAGTTCTGCAATACCTCGTTACCATTTAACGCTTGTTTTTTGACAAACTTACGTGCTTTGAAGCAGGTGCAATTTTAAAAGTAACGGATACTTAATTGAAAATGTCTCTTCTATACATTCCCCAACACTTCGCTTATTCACTTATCTTCAGTTTGGGATATACACTCTCTAACCTTCACTTCAGCCAATAGCAGCTTTACAACTTAGAAATTCATTCCCTTCAGTTCTTAAATCCCTTGCCTATAACTTTTAAGTTAAGCACCAGCCTACTGTAAAACAGAACTGAACAAAACAGATTAGAAGCACTGGCAGGTAAAATAGAGAAGGGAGTGACACTCACCTCTTCCGGCAAAGTGATGATAAGATCAGCATCCACTTGGCCCACAATTCTTGAAAGGAAGTAACTGCTGCAAGCTGCAAGCACAGCTTTGTGAGCCCGAAATCGCTGATCTTCCACTAAAATCGTAACATCACAAAGAATATCTTGCTTTCGCTGATCATCAAGACTGAGAAGTACATTGGTACTGTGTACTGAAGATTCATATGCAAAAACCACACTATTCTTCTCACTTAGAGACATTCTGTATCACAAATGGTAGTGTGAGTCTCAGTGGAAAGCATGCTTCTGTTCTTCAAATCTGGAGGAAGAACAAAAAGAAGTTGTATACGCAAAAGTCACATCCAACAGGAACCTACTGATACTAAAACAATAAGCAAACTGTTAAACATGCATTGCCTGTTCTAATTCTTTTTAAAATTAATACTCAATTTCCTACATGTTAATACATAAATACATGCTTATGAGCATTTAAAGTACCCAAACCTTAATAAATACATCTTAAAATATTGTCTTAGTAGCTTTTTAGACCAAAAAAGGGAACAATATTTCATGTGACTTCAGTGACAAGGAACAGATTTTTCCTCAGCAAGTGATTCAGAGTTCTAACTTTACTGTAACACATTAAAAAAAAACAAAACAACATTTTGCTTTCATTTAGTTAATCAGGATATTGACTTCAACACTATGAAAACAGAGAAATATCACCAAAATGCTATGTAAGCTTCTTCTGTTTACTGATTCACCTAGCACAGACTAAAATAGTCGTGTTCCACCTTCTTTCAAAAGCAATTAGCCTGCTAAACCAATCAGGCATCAGTAAAATACTCATTTTTTCTCTGGTAGGCTGATGATTTGTTTTGGTTTTAAAGCAGATTAGTTCTCCTATTTTCCACCTGCCTTAATTCTCTAAGGCCACCTTCCTTCCCCCCTCCCCCCTCATAACTATTTACCTGTTACAATTGTTACAAGTTTGCTTTCCTAATGGATCACTATGATTCATACCACCTGGCAATGGAATCCCTTTTGTGATAAAGCATCAAAGTACTTGAGTAACAGCATTTATTGGATAATAAACAACAGTAAAAGTTATATATGATGTTAGTAACCTTAAACTAAGCTCATACATAACTGTTCTACAGCTATTCCTCAACTTAGTATTTGAAGAAGGATGGGGGAGAGGGGGGGGAAGGCCAACAAACCTAGGGAGACATAAGCCCTCCTAGAGAGGGCCGAGTTTAACAGCATTTCCAAGTCTGATCTTTACACTGTATTTCTAAATTCTTATTTTCTTTGGATTCAGCCTTTCTTCCAGTTAAAAAAAAAAAAGCCTAATAAAAGTGTCCCCACATCCAAAGGTCAATGAAGAAACCACATAATCAGATTTGGAACTGCCTGAAAGGAAAAATATATTACTACGAAAAACGTTACCTTAAACCAAGCATCTGGATTACAACGGACTATTCTAGCCAGGAGTTACTGTAACTGGAGACAGTTGCTGACACTCACTTCAGCTGACACAGGACTACTCAATCACTATATTGCTCAACAGTGGTTGTTATGATATGCCAGCTCCCAACAATAATAAAACCTTAGACAGAGCAAATCTTCAGTTTTCAAATATGGGAAACTTTCACAACATGGGGAGGGAGGGGGCGTGGCCATTTTAAAACTGTGGTTAAAAAAACAACCACCCTGCCAGCTATACTCCTCATTACTCATTGAAGTTATATTCATAGCACACAGGCATTTTTAGTCATCTTCTGCACAGAAAGAGAGAAGACAAAGATCCACATTTCCACTGAAGTAGTAGCATGGTACCAGTCTGGACTCTGGTAAAATGCAGAGCATCAGCATTATTTGCCATTCCCACTCCCTCATAGAACACAGTACACTCAACCTCACGGTCACCTTTGCCAACCTCCAGATCATAACTCAGCAAAGACAAAGAAAGCAAGTCTGTTTCAGGGTATTTGTTTAAATACACAAGATATTAAATTTTTTTTATGAAACTTCTGAGGGGAATGAAAACAGGAAAAAAAAAGTACACAAATCAGGTTTCTCTCCACTAAGCAATAGCTATACTCATGCACTGTTAAGCCTAAAATGCTTATTTTTGGAAAAAAAATAACAACAACCAAAACCAAAAAACAACAACAAAAAACCAACAAAACAATTTAAATGTTTTCATATACCAAATGACAAGAGTTGTTTATATAGGAAATATTTAATTTCTAATAATTTTAAGTTGGAATTCTCAAGTAATTTCCTGTGAGTTATTAATGAAATTCTATTCTTAGAATAGCTTAAAAGTAGTAAGCAGTGGAACGTAAATCATGTATCCCTATTTGTTTACTCCACATCCTTAACATATCATATTCCTCAGATATTACAGCACATGCAGTATGACTCCGTATTTGCTGCCAAAAGGTCTTAAAAAAATACAAAATCATCAAAAAGAAACGAAGGACAAAACCTTAAGACTTAACTCCAGGCCAGTGGGGAGAACAGGAAAGCATTAAAGATAAAGCCATATTTTGAGGTGAATACTTGGGCAAAACTCACGAGGGTGACTATAGTTAAGATAAGCCTTTAAAGGTTGTTTCTTCTTTTAAAGTCCCAAGTCCTCCTAACCCTTAGATAAAGAACAAATCATATATGCTGCTTTTGGGTTTTCCCTTATTCCAACATCCAATTCATCTAATTACTTTCATAGCATTTAGCACAGAAGGCTAAAAAGAACAGTAGTTTGTTTATATTTTCATATACATATACATGCACATATATATATATGCAGAGGACAGTCAACCCTCCTTTTCACTTGATCTCTACAAGGCACGCAACACGCTTTCAAAACAGTGTGCAGCCTACTTGAAGCACTGATAGTGAGCTCCCAATGTTATTGGTGCCAAAAAGAAAAAAAGAAAAAAAGCTTTCAACACTGAAACACCACCTTCTATTTCTTGAGAAGTGAAAATTAACATTTAACTTGAGCATAGCTTAGTTTAACACTTTACTCTGACAGAACACTGTACTTCCCAATGTGAAGATTTCATCAGCTAAATTATGTCCCCACCATATTTAAGCAGGATGCAAGTATTTTTGAGGTATCAAAAATATAAAACATAGAATTTCATGAAGCATTTTGAAATTTAAAGGAACCTTAAAAAAAAAAAACAAAAAAACAACACACACCAAAAACAAAGACAAAAAATGTAACTACTGACATACATGGTAAAGAAAGAAATCAAAAGGGAAAGAACCAAAAGACTGAAAATGCTGGTGAAAACAAAAAGCATCAAACAGGAAAGGGAAAACATTACCACTGTAAAAAGCTGTAACACTTCAGAGAAGTGCTAACAGAGGTCAAACTTGTGAATGACTTAATTCTGCTTTCCAGTTATGTAATAAAGGCATGATATACCAGATTTATGATAACATTTGTCATGCATCGAAAGCAGTGTGACCAGCAGGTCAAAGGAGGTGATCCTGCCCCTCTAACTCTGCTCTTGTGAGACCCCACTTGGAGTACTGTGTGGCACTTCTGGTGTCCCAAACATAAGAAGGGCATGGAGCTGTTGGAACAAGTCCAGAGGAGGACCACGAGAATGATAACAGAGCTGAAGCACCTCCCATATGAAGACAGGCTGAGAAAGCTGGGGTTGTTGAGTCTAGAGAAGGCTGCATGAAGACCTCATAGCAGCCTTCCAGTATCTGAAGGGGGCCTACAAGGATGCCGGAGAGGGACTCTTCATCAGGAACTGTAGTGACAGGACAAGGAGGAACGGGTTTAAACTTAAACAGGGGAAGCTCAGGTTAGATATAAGGAAGTTCTTCTCCATGAGGATGGTGAGGCACTAGAATAGGTTGTCCAAAGAAGTGACGAAAGCTCTATCCCTGGCAGTGTTTGAGGCCAGGCTGGACAGAGCCTTGGGCAACATGGTCTAGTGTGAGGCACCCCTGCCTGAGGCAGGGGGTTTGGAACTAGATGATCTTAAGGTCCTTTCCATCCCAAACCATTCTATGATTCTATGACAGTCAACTAGATTTTTCACAGCGCTGTGAGAACAAAATACAGTTGTTCATAAATAGATGTTATACACATATCCAGAACAAGATTTACTGTTGCAACAAAGACAAAAAGTACACCTCTTCTAGAAACTGTTTAATTTTATTTCTACTTTAACTCTTCTCCCAGAGGAATCAAATCCTTAAAATTAATTTCATAGAACCACAGAAGAAGCAACATGAAAGCTCATTAATCACAAATCATTGGTTAGTGGAAGAAACTAGTACTGTCAGCACAAGAGCATTCCTCAAATTCATCTCACCTGAAATTCTGCACACCAAAAAACCTCAGTCTTTTCAGGAAGGGGGGAGGGAAATAAAAAAATAATATAAACACACATGGTAGTATAAAAACTACACAAAGGAATATCTGCAGGTGAATGAACCAAATTTTGCTCTGAAAACACAACCAAGCATGCTACTATGAAGTTTCCATTCTCTATCACAGTGATTTTGAGATAAAAAATTATTTGCCTAACAGCAAAAATATTTGCTCCTAAATACCAGCTATAAAACTTTATTCTGCTTTATCAAATTGAATTAACTCCTTTTTTTTTTCCTCCCTACTAGCACACAATTCAATGGGTAAACTATGCCTATCATACCATCAGTAAATTTAGACATCTCTACTTCTAACTGACCAGATATGCACCTATTCACTTTCAAAGCACATATAATAAAAATTAGCACTGCAACAATATTTAAGAAAGGAATATATATCTGTTTAAGTACATACAGTACATAGTCTGCAGATCAGAGCAAGATGACTATCAAGACTCATTGTGAATACAGATCTCATCCAACACTCATTTTTCCTCATGCATTTGAAGTTATTCATTAGCTTATATTATTAACATGGAGGCAACTGAAAAGTATAATAAGTGTAAAGTACTGTAAAACTGTAAAAAAGACTGCAGGTTTGCTCATCTGATTGCTTACAGGTGATAGCAATTACTGCTCTTTAACTCCTAGCTGACCACAGAATTAAAGAACTTAGTTACGTGATGCAATCCCTTCCCCCAGAATCTCTGCTTTAAAGAGCCACTTGGTGCGGATCTTTAGGTAAACCCATTTGATAGTTCAAAAAAAAAAAGTATATTTTTCAAAGATTATAATAATTATGAGAGTAGGTAAAGCTGTAAGGAACTCTTGTTGCTAAGTAACAGAAGGAAAATAATAATAGATAATATTACTTTGGAATAGATAGCATAAGAGTAGGATCATATTATGAGGATAAAACTCATAATAATGTGATGTATTTCTTATCCACATGCATATAAATCTGGCACAAGGTAGATTAACTTTCATGCTCAGTAGCACCATTACAACATGTAAAAGCCTGTGCTTGGTATCAGGTGGTCAACAAGAGAAGTGTTATGCAAGAGGTGAAGGAAGCTTTGAAGAATCAAGTTGTCACTGAAGGTGACAAAAGCATGCACAAAAACCAGCTTACCTCCATACATTTATGATAGGACAAAAGAACTGCTTGACGTTTAAGCAAGTTTCTGAAAATTCTGGCAGTTACATAATCCTGGAAAGAGTTTTGTATTGTGCTTCACAAACAAAAGGTATAAATAATTTTAAATAATATATGTAAAAATAGAACTAATGTATTAGATATTATTTTAATATGTAATAAAAAAGTAATAAACCCAGTAAATGCCTTTTACAATAGGTCTTCCTAGCAAACCACTCATAAGTCACAATTTGACACAGTACTGCTTTCTCAAGTATTTAACCCTGAGGACTAATTTTCCCCACTATACAAAATGGCAGCAAAACACACAGTGTGCATACGCTGACACAGAGCACTCAATAATATCATCTGCTTTTTCTTGTACTGTTGAGCCCAAACTTCACAATTTGTCACAATGATTAAGTCCTCTAAGGCTGAAAAAAGCTGATAAACAGAATCCCATTTGAAGAGGAAAGTTATTCAAGTAACCAGAAGCAATAGTAATAAGATGCAGACATCAAGACAACTCTCAAAACCTTAGAATAATAAAGCAACTATACCCCCCATCAGTTCACTGCAAGTATTAAAATCAGCAGCAATTATCCCAAATCATTGCCACTTATCCAGATGCCCACTGGACAACTCCAAAGAATTACATCTTTTTTACAGAGAATTTCTAAACCATGAATGTTCTGTCAGAACTATTTTCTTAATAAACATACAGGATCATAAAAATCAAACAAATTGACTAAATAGCTAAAATACTGTTATTCAATGCACTGAATTAATAGTAAGAACTTCTTCAAAATTTAAACAAAAATTTAAGCAAAGTATCTTGCATTTTTCATCAATGTTAGAAAATCCCCCAACGTGCCACACATTTGACAACTACATTTTACAGTAACTTAGAAAAACAGTCACCAATTCTGTATGCTTATAGCTGGTTTATTGTACCACTTGCATCATTCTTTCTGAGGAAAGAAAACAACATCTGGAGGTGCCTCTGCCTGCCTATGACAGCTGCCAGGAACTTTACCACAGAGTAACTTAGAAGAGTCAGACAGCTATGTGGCAAATTCAGTGCCCTTTAGTTTATACTCAATCACCACAAAAGCTGAAAGGGGTGATATTTCAACATACAAAGGGTTATGCTTTATGGCTAAAGAGAGCATTTTGAACATCAGACCAGCTGATGCTAGCAAGATCCGCCAACGGCGCTAGAATAAAACTCACAACTAGAAAGAATGAATGAGTCACAGAAATGAGCTCCATAGGCTCTGACTCTTAAAGGCAAACAGTCACAGAACACTAAAATGACCCTCAAAACTGAGATACAAGCTTGAGTGCAGATCACTGTCATTTCTGCTTTTATTTACATTATGATACACCTGTGATTTATGTACAGATTTACCAAAATACTTTTTGAACATCTGAATTTGAATGTTTCAAGTATCCTTAAAACCACTTACATCAGAGCACAGAAATCCACGGAAATCAGTAACAGTCATATCTTTATTATTTAGAAGGTTTGCACTTTCAGGAAAGACATAGCTGATTTTCCAAACTTACAATCTAAACATTTGGCAGTAAATCTAAGGACCTGTAAAAGAAAATCCAGTATCAAATGGTCATTGAGACACAGTGGGAACCCATACACATTTGGATTCAGTAACGTAACATCCAGACCTAATGACTAGCTGTGAAAGACCTGCTGTCAAATAAAACACAGGACTGTATTTTGTCATCAACACCTGTAACATGCTTAATAGCAAGTGCGATAGTAAACCAGCACAAATTAAACTGTGGTTCTTCTGCTTCAAGGTCTACTAAGACAACAATGGTACCAGCAAGAGCCAAGCAAAAATACACATGCTACAGAAGTTGCATCCTATGAAGTGAAGGCTTTCTTTTAAAGAGCAACAGCCTCTTACTTATTTCCTATCAGCCTATAGATCTATTTTAGATACTCCTAAAAATAACTAACCTTTTATTCCTAGTCTCAGCTATCCATTATGCATCTCTACTACCACAATCAACTCAGTCTACACCTGTGATTTATTCTTTTCTGACCTTCAGCTACCATAGATTTCCTGTAAATAATCAAGCCCCAAAGTTACCCAATTTACTAAAAAAGTAAAGAAAACTCTGTTCCTTAGTCTTTACATAGGGAACAACCATTCCCTGATACCATACTAGATATCAGTTCTCTGTAATAATTACAGTAACTCTCACTTGTGTTCAGTTGAAGTTCTTGAAATATGAGAAAGCAGAGTGAAGCCCCCTTCCAGTAGCTACAGAACCCAGGTGGGACACCTTTGCTGTCACTGCTACCTGAGCTGGTTGAACTTGGACATCCAGACGCTAAGTCGGTTATGATCACCATCACCATAAAACTAGCAAGATTAATTTATCACCTAGCAGACAATAAAAGTCTGCTCAGCTATCACCATGTTTGTAACGTATCTGTACTCACAGAACACTTCAAATTCCTGCACAAAAAAATAAAAGGCATCATAGCCACCCAAAAAATAGCTTGGAGAAAACAAACTCTGGGTGCTATTCCTGATTCCTACACTGATCTCTTGAGTAACTGCCAGCAGGTCACTTATCTCTGGCAGTTCCCTTAGGGTGGACATTCACTCTGTCTTGTACAAAAATCTGTCATCCACAGATGTAAAGTACAAAGGGACAACTACCATGTAGTACTGCTAAAATGAAACGGTTTGAATAAGAGATAGTTTACTCAAAACACACTGCAAAGGCTTTTTTCTGAAGTTTTATATCTATGTCCTTGCCCCCAGTTACCTCTCCTTATAAGGAAATAAAGTTATGCTACAGATGAATGCCTACAGCAGTTAATAGCTGCTGAATCATGTTATGCTGACAAGGAATGAACAAGCATTTTAGTGTTCGTGTTTATTGTTTTCTCAATCTTTAGTTCAAAAAAGACTTTAAAACAAAAAAAGTGGTTAAAAATGTAAAAAGAAAGCTTTGCTTCACAAGACCGATGATGCATTCTCCTCTCAGAGGAAGCAGGTCTCCTCTTCAGATGATTAGCACATTCATAATTAAAATTCTAAATTGTATTCTTTATTAAACACCTGGATGATATCGCTCACAGCTTAATTACATAAACGAGCATTTTAGAAATTATTAGGTTGTATTTCTACAACATAATTCTCACCACAGCATTTGGACTCTTGTCAAGTCACAAGCAAGAATTAAAAAGTATCACGGGCAGTCTGGCAAGTTTTAAGTCTGTGCTGAGTCTTAATTTATTTTCCAGGATTTAAGCCTGAATATTCACTTTTTCAATATCTGCAAGTTCTATGAGAACTCAGGGTGCCTTGGGGGGTGGTGTGTGAAACCTGAGACTCACAGTAATCATAAGACTCCAGAAGCTGGGATTTTGAAGGAAAAAAAAAGCAAAGGATTTATACCATGTAATCATAGAAATTTCCCAATTGAGCAGAGGTTTGAACAGTTTCCCTCAAAAGATGATATAAAGCAGTCCATATCAAAGCCAGAAAACAAAAACAAAAAATTACTACTTTGCAGTTCACCACTGTTTTACACAGCTCTGTTTAGTTTTTTGGATCAGGGATAACAATCACATTGTGTGATTTAGTTTGTTTCATTGCTAAAAAATGAAATGGGACTGAAGGGATTTCCAAGACTCCTTTGCAGCAAAATCCCATCATTTATATCCTTCAATTCTGCTGGTACAGAAGAAGAGAGTTCTCTGAGAAGGTAACAACAATGCAAAGACATCCTAAAGGTACGGTTCACCTAAATAAGCCCCAAAACACCTAACAACAGAAACCCCCCATAAACACAACACCCCAAAACATACTAGTAGAAGCTTATTTTATATTTCTTTAAAGAAGATCTGACTTAGCTAAAACATTCACTTAGGATAAGGGGGTAAACTGACATAACGAAGCATTCACAGCTAACATTTCTGGTCAACACTTGCCTTTACTCAAAGGACAAATATCTTTGCATTTATAGCTACACATTCTACTCTTTACCACAGATAAACAAAACACATGGATTATTTTAATGACTGTCAGAATCCATTCACAAGTATGTATGTCAAAATATTTACAATTAATACTAAATTAATCATCTGTGGTTCTAATGTATCTTACTCTAACTTAGGAGGACACAAGAAACAACCGAAAGAATTGAGAAAGCAAACATATTGGCAAGTCAAAGTAAATACTTTCTGAAAGCGATATTCAATCTTGTTTCTGGTATTAACCTTTTAACTCTGATTTTTTTCCACAACAGTGCTTCACAGTACATGAAACCGAAACAAAATTCCACTAATACTTTAAGCATAAATCAGTAAGAACTTCAGAAACATTTCCGTGTAAACATAAAACCTTTTTTTTTATTTACTTATTTATTCAGTAAGAAAGAATAAAAAAAGATGCAGAAGACAGACTTCAAATGGTAATTCCAGCAACAACTTCCACCAAATCACATAAAACTGTGTTTCAGTTTTCCCAATTAGGAAACTGTAGACCATTTTCTATCCGACATATGATGTTAAAAGATACAGACTTACTAGCTAAGCTGTAAATAAGCAGTTTTGGAATGGTACCATATAAAATACTGATACTAAAAGAAGTGTAAATCAGGGCAGCAAAAGCTATCTACTCAATTCTCAAAGTATTAGACAATGGACTTAAGACTGGAGTCCAAATGAACACCCACAGACATTATCATGACATTTGAAATTAAATCGTTTATAAATAAGTTCTCAACATGATTCTAAAGATTAACTGAATATTCCTATGAGACACAGGTTCTCATTTAAAGGCATCTTGAGTGACTAACTCTTTCGCTCTCCAATGTATGTCTAATGATTAAACTCAGTTTATTTGTATTTCACCAATGTTTCTAAAGTCAATTTACCCTTCATAGCATGCTTCCCCCACACTCCTTTAAAGCTTCAGTAGTTGACCAGTCAGTTGCACTTTACTTTGACCTGCTAACTCACATTTATACCAAATAGTAAGGTTTCCCTTTGTATTACTTAAGAACAAAACTTCTTTCATCCTGAAAACAGCTTTAAGGGGGGGGGACGATACAAAAAAATATTCAGCATAGTGCTGGAGATGAAGTTATTTCTGTGATACAACCTATGATTTGTTAAAGCAAAGTAACTTCACACTGCTAACCTCTGAACTTGAAGGTGGGGGGGAAGGGAAAGCTGTAGGTGGGTCCTCACACATCATCCCCACTGTGGTCATACTAGGCTGAATTCATACAACCTAATGGTTGTTTCAGCAGTTTTTTGCCCACTTAAGGTTTTGTTCCTACCCACGTTAGCAACAACACATTACCTACAGTTTAACTAAGGACTGCATATAAACAGGACTTATGCTATAAATACCAAAGGTTTTTTTCTACCCCTAAAACCTCCCCTGTGAAACTTTCAGTGGTCAAATTCTAAGGTACAACTAGAATGCCAGCACTTGGACACAAACATGAATCCTTTGACTAACCTACCACTCCTCCCCATCATACCATCATGCCCAGTGCAGGGAACTAGACAATTCTGATATTAACATAAATTTATTACTGTTAAAAATATCCTTAGCATAGGATTTTAGAACCCATTAAAGGAAAATAAACATTTAGAACATCAAGATCTTGCACATTTGAGTATGAACTACTCAGAAATACAGCTATGGAAGTTAAACCTCCACTTCAGCATTTTGGTATGAATTAGGGGTGTGCTACTGAAGCAAACTTTCCAAACATCCCACTTACTGTGCCTTTGTTCGTTTCGCAAGATGGACCTGGACAACAAGAGTAAGTTCTTTTCCAGACCAAAATAAAACTGGGAATCATTCTTTAGAAGCTTCCCAGTTCTAAAGAGGAACGTACTTCTTCAGAAGTCCAAATACGAAGGGATTCAGTAGACCTAGCTCAAAGGAAGCCCTTCTTTAAAGCTTTTGATGTGGATATACTGCTTTCAGCAACAACAGTTTCTCTCTGCAAATCTGCCACTTTTGGGCCTCACCACTTGCTAACACACACACAGACTTACATGTGTTAGGTTACCCAAGAGTAATTATGCTATTTAAGTCAACTTTAAAGTTAAACATAAACCAGAGAATAAGATCTGCAATATCTTAGGTGCTTTAATTTAAAACCACCATGTCTGACAGGAATATACTCTTCTGTTTTCTCTTCAGTATGGTATAATATTTAAGATTAAATAACTGACTATTACTAGAATACCCAGAGCTCTGCATAACCTTAATTTACAGTGCTTCTGGACTGCAGCTACTCCATTACTACATTCAAGTGTTTTTCACACGATGAAAGTGCCTTCCTAAAGTGCCTCAAATTGTCTGTCAGAAGTCACTGCATGAAGAACTGCACATTCAGTTACCTTCACTTTACCTGCACTGCAAGAACACTTGCTTTTCCCTTTTTCAATAAAACAAACATTTACAGGGCCCAGTTGCATATGAGCTTGGGATTACTGTTATACTGCCATACTAAAATGGAGAATGTAAACATAAATGGGCAGAAAAGCAGATGATTATTCTTTTATAATTACTACATTTTCAGCGTACCCTAGAGCATGCCAAGTACCTCACCATACAGAACAAGACAGACAAGCTTTGTACCTCGCTATTTACGGTCTAAAATAAATCTCACCAAGCTCCCACAAAGGGTAGCAAACCCTACACGCACCAGTTGTACGTTTCACCCGGGGAAAGCGGGCTTACCGCCAGACTTTCAGCAGGGTTGATCTGTCCCGTTCGCGCAGGGCCAGCACCGCGCCTTGGGAGTCCCACGCCTGTCACCGGACCCTACGGGGACATGGGCACCCGCGGAAACCAGGGACGAGGCGCTGAGAATGACTGACTGCCCGACCCCGC